GTAAACAGGCATATGTTCGATTACACCCGCCTACATCTGATCTGATTCTATCTGCTAAAAGACAGATGGGGATTTGTTCCCCATCCATCTAATGGATCAGATGACAGTTGGGTGTAAACGGACAGTAAGTCCGTCTACATCCGACCACCCATAGAAAACAATGGGCTGTGTCTGTGTCTGTGTCCGCTCTGCATAAGCTGAGTGGACACAGACCAGTCATCCGCTTACTCAGCTGGAATTACGGGACAGATTCCTAGCGGAATCTGCCCTGTTTGAAAAGGGCCTACATTTACTCTTAAAATGCAAATGGTGTAAGTACCTAAATTTAGCCTAGTATTAGCCTCTTGCAGACTTTGTACAGCAGAACTGAGTGTGAGAGGAAAAAGCAGCACAAGTAGTCAGTCGATTCAGGTGCTGGCAAGGAGCTCGCTGATAGGAGGAGAAAACAGAGTGACAGAGAGGTTAGCTCATCACTGTACTGCCTGGGTTAAAAAGAAATGCGCTGAATGATGTTGTCATTCAAACAGAAAGATTGAAGACATTTTCTGGCAGGTAAGAGATACGATAGTACATGATTGCAGCTCCAACAAAGTCAGTGATGGAACACTAAAAAGAAAAGAAGGAGGAGACTGGTCTGACAGTGCATTGCAAAAATTGTATCAGTGTATTGAACGAAATATAAATTAATTTCCATATTTATTTTCTTAATGGCACCTAGAAGGTGGTCTTTTTATTATTTAACTACTTGCCCTCCAGAGGATTTACTCCTCTTCCTGCCATTTTTTGCAATACGGCACTGCGTTACCATAGCTGACAATTGCATGGTCATGCAACGCTGTACCCAATAGAAATTTGTGTCCTTTTTTCCCACAAATAGAGCTTTCTTTCGGTGGTATTTAATTGCCTCTGCGTTTTTTTATTTTTTATAAACAAAAAACACCAACAATTTTGAAAAATAAACAATATTTTTGACTATAAAACATATCCAGTAAAAAAATTTTAAATAAAATTTCATCATAAATTTAAGCCAAAATGTATTCTGCTACACGTCTTTGCTAACAAATCCCAAAACATGTAAATTAATCGGTTTACGTGAAAGTTATAGCGTCTAAAAAAATGGCGGTATATATACTGGAATTTTTTTTTTATACTAGTAATGGCGGCAATCAGCAGGACTGAGGGACTGCAGCGGGCATTCTGACACTAACTGAGACTTACTAACTGCCACTGACATCCCCAGTGACACTAATACAGTGATCAGTGCTAAAAAAAAAAAAAAGCACTGACACTGTACTAATGACACTGGGAAGGAAGGGGTTAACATCTGGGGCGATCAAAGGGTTAACTGTGTGCTGTTTTTACTACTGTTTTGTGTGCTGTGTGTGCTTTACTGTGTAAGCAGTGCAAAACAAAGCAGCATGCTGGAGCTGACAGAGGACAGATCTGTATTGTTTACATACAAACCTCTCCTCTGTCAGTGTTCTTCGGTGATCACAGGGTGATGGCGGCGAATCTGTGGCCAGGACCTGGTGATTGACAGTCATAGCCGCTAATGGCTATACGTGTATATATACATGATTTTGCGCAGCCCTGCATCCCTGTAGCAGTATTTGTGCTATAGGGCGCCAGGAAAACGGTTAATAGGAAAACCCATCAGTTTTGCTCCCTTTTACTTACCAAAGGCCTATCATGATAGAAATATAGGACTTTATTTGTACCCTTGTTCTGAAAGTGCTAGGTGTCTAGCTGTATGTGCCTTCAATTCTTATGAAATAAAGACACATCCAGGAGTTCCCTGGTCCCTGGCACTTGAACTCTTGTTTGTACAGAAGGCGCTCCAGTCAAAATCGTAAAGGTGTACAAATGGCTTTAAAAGTTTATTGTTAAAACAACCAACATGTTTCGGAGACCAAAATACTATCCCTTCATCAGGGCTTAGGATCTAGTCAGAAATGAAAAAGGACTCAATATAACTGAGTTATCCTCTATTAGGTTGTATGGGTAAACATGGGAAATAACTGGATCAGTCAGTCACCAATGGTGCTAGCGTTATAGGCAGTGATATCCTTTACTATTTGGTCTGGCATTCCTTCTGTGGTTCTGTGTTTCAATACTTATGAGACAATGACCAAGGGCAGGTTGGTAGCAAACAAGTATCTACAAAAAAGGCAGAAATCATTATATCTATACTTTTTCTAAGTTAATTACATAAAGTATTGAGACTAGAGAATCATTATGACAGCTAAGCAGTTAGCTTTTTCAGAAGGAGAAATCAGCAATGGCAACCTAGATATTTTCTCATAACACCGATCATTAGAGACATATAGGGGGTAATTTACTAAAACAGGAGAGTGCAAAATCTGCTGCAAATCTGCATAGAAACCATTCAGCTTCCAGGTTTTATTGTCAAAGTTGAATTGAGCAAGCTGAAGTTAGAAGCTACTTGGCCATCATGCACAGCTGCACCAGATTCTGAGTGTACCAATTTTAGTAAATCTACCCAATACTGTTGCCATTGCTGGATTAATTTTGGAAAAATCCTAGTTGCTCAGCTTTGCCTCACTTCAGTAATCAAGTTGCAGACCAATGTGTATGTTTTCTGCCAGTCTTTTCGACACCTTGAACTCGCTCATGGCTCATAATTTGCAAGGGAGTCAGACCATGAACTCCCTCTTTTGAAGAAAGTGGAAAAATAGGACTGGACCAGTAGGGTTATGTCACAGGTATAGCTATCTTAGGCTTCATTCACACTTGTGTGACTTGTCATGCAACTTCGGACATGACAAGTCGAAGCCCATTCTTTTCAATGGCACCCTTTCGGATCTGTGCAACATAAAGTCGCAGAGATTTTGAAAAAGTGCCTGCACCACTTTGATGTCTTAGATCCATAGAGTATAAAGTCAGTTCAAAGTCGCACCAGAGTCATCGCGTGACTCTGGAGTTGCACAAGTGTGAATAGAGCCTTAAAGTATTGATGTAAGTGATCTGGTAACCAGACAGGCAGTTTCTACACCCCAGAGGATCTTCACAGTCTCTTTGGCTTATATTATAATGTAACGAAAAACTGAAGTGCAACACCACTGCTAAGAGGCCCAGATGCAACTTTATTCCAATCAAAGTCAGGGGACAATCCAAAAAGTATCCAGCATGTTTCATGGGTCCACTAGACTAGAAGTGAACTGGACCTTTACTGTAATGTCCAAATGGTGTCTAGAGGAAATGAGAGAATCTTTCTGGAATCCTCAGTGTGTGTGTGTGTGCGTGTATGTGTGTGTGCCAGCATCAAACTGACAAAAATCTAGTATAAAGGGGATCCCAAGTTCCAGGGTGGTTGTGCAACTGTACACTCACACAATTGATTTGCTTGCCCCTGCATACAAAAATGGAATACAGGGAAAAGGTCGCATTCCTAATGTCATATGTGTGCATTGGGGTGCCATTTAAAATTAATGGCACCACAATGCATTAATGTGCAAAATGTTCATTACCATACATTACAGTGATGCACGTTTTACCATGTTGGTGTCAACAAGCCCGTGCATCAGGTGTTCTTACCTTCTTTACAATTAGGGATATGCTCAGGTCCTAGTCTGAATCCACCTCAGCTACCCTGCCAGGAAGCTGTCACCACACAAAGCCAATGATAAGCATCCAAAACATATCCTGCTCCACAGCCAAAGCTTGGCTGCCTATGATTTGCTTTGTGCAGTGGCAGCTTCCTGGCATAATAGCTGAGGTGGTGCATCTAAACATGATGTGAGATATCATATATGGTGCTTGCCCCAAGGGTAAGGATTCTTAAAACCATGCAGAGCGGTATCTAAAATTTCTAAAAGTTTAGGATTCAGCTGTGATAGCATTTGCTGTGGGACTAATAGGTTCCATTACTGATAAGACTAGCATTTTAGGGTCTACGACTATTACTAAATAATGGCAAAAAAAGTAGTATTTTCTATAAGTTCACTTGTGTGACAGACCCAACAGGGACAGAGGCTTTTGCAGGGGACTACAGGCTAGCCTCTTGCCTACTTACCATGGGCCCTGGAATCTGAGTGACCTCTATTTTTTGGGAGGTGTGTGCCTGGGGGGACCTTTAGAATAGTTTTACTTCAGATTCAAGTCCATGTCTTCCCGAAACACACAGACTCTGAGTACTGGAGGATTCAGATACGGATTTGGGGCTTCTGTGCCCAAACCAGCATTGACTGCTTCAATCCCCCTCCACCATTGTGTATTTGTTTTATTGATAATTTAGTTAAATGAGTCACCTATTGTTTCTGTCTGTTCGCTAGTCCTCCTGGAGGTTCCTACATGATGATATTAGTCTTCTGTCGGCTTTACCTCATTATCCAATCAGTGTGGGATGTCTATCTCAATGTGTAATATTTTGTTTTATTGTTCATGTGGGGACTGCCTCTATTTCTGAAATGTATAAAAAGTTGTATTTTAATAAACAGTTCCAATTTGCACCTAAGTTAGTGTCATCCAGAACTTGGGCACAAAGCACAGCTATACCTTGGCCCCATGTCCCAGAGGTGAGGAAGAAGTTTTCTGACAGAGGTCAGGCAGCCACATTTAAAAATAGAATGCTAGCCCCTAGTCCCCTCCAAAAGCCCCTGTCCCGGTAGGGTCTGTCACAACTTGTATGTCTTATATATGTATATGTGAATGTACAACTACTGTTAAAAAAAATATCATACTTCAATGGTAAAGTGGACGTTATTTTATTTAATAAATAGCACCATAGTGAGAAACAACTCCTAGACGTAATATCTGGGAAAGACAGACTGGAGGAAAAACAATTTTATTAAAATGGAGTGGATGTTATAGTTGGTTCATGTTGGGTGAGTCTTACAAGAAAAGGCTGCAGAATGTAACATGTAAGTATGAGGCAGAGAAGACAAAGCCTGTAGGGAACATGACAGAACGTCCACTCTCCTGTACTAGTATAGTCATTAACTGAAAAACAGCTGCTGATCCAGAGCAAAAAGGATGATAAATTACTGAATGTCTGCAGCCTCCCCACGCTCAGCAGACTCTTCTTTGTTGGGTGATTGCTTGTTCCATGCAGTCTCTTTGAACACAAACCACACATTGGCAGCCCAAATCACGAAATTCAGAAAACCAAAGAGCTGATGATACAAAGAAGAATTAAGTGATAGTGATGGATAGAAATGTGATAAAACAGATATTCTTGAAATGTGTTTAAATCCATGCACTAATTGGTAAAAAGTATAATATAGATTCAACATGTAATAAAGGTATTTGTTGTCAAAATAGGGAAAGATAAGCCCTACTACATCCCATCCTGGCAGTCAACAACAACTAGATAATATGGGGTTGATTTACTAAAGGCAAATTTATTTATTTGCACATGACTGGGAATTCTTCACAAAGTGAAATTTCACTGAATTCAGTAAACTCTGGGGAAAATTCCCTTACAAAATGCAATTTCTATTTGGAAAATGGACAGACCTTGGTAAACCAACCCCTATATATACCATAGTCATATGGTGAACATCCAAACTGTATTATTTAGGCATTTTCAACCACACCAATTCACCTTTTTATGCAAAATGACCAAGAATAATAAACGTTCTATCAAAGCCATGACGTAATAAAATTCAATAGTGGATATGGTAGAATGCCTTGATCTAGTCAGTAATTTTTGTGACCTAAACTTGATGAAAAAGTGGTTACAATTCCCTGAAAATTGTGGAGATCAATGAACCTACAAGTGCAAAACACTATGAAGTTCACAATACTGAACTCAAATCCCTTTGGTAAATTTTCCCTCTCTGCTGCTTTCATGTAGAATGATTTTTTTAGGACACAACCTGTTGGTCATTCAGTCATTTTGGTTCGGTTGGAGTCATTCAGATTGGTTGGAGAAAATCATTTAACACGGACAGGGGTGCATACAGCAGTCAGCTTTTATTTATGTGGTTTAAAGGCCGTTTCACACTGGAATGCACAGGTTCCCGTGTGGTCTGTTTTGATAGCCTATTCATTTGAATGGGCTACAAAACACACTAATATGTGGGGGAAAAAAAGTAGTGAATGCAGTGAACCAAACTGCATGGTACTGTGGTACCATGTAATTTGGTGGCCGTAAACATGCTACATTTACAAAATGCATGTGGGGTGCTATTAAATTCATTGGCACCAACACGCTCTTGAAAGGCAGCATGTTCAACTGCAATGTGGGAAACGCACTCCGAATATGCCTTTCCTACGCCGAGTTTTGGTGTAAACCAGCCAAACACTTTTCAAAAGAAAAAAAATGTTGCTGTAACTGCTTAAAAAGTATTAGCTAAACTTTAAACTAAGTTCTAAAGGCTGAAGTTTTTTTACTTTCAAGCATTCTATGCATGAAGGTAAAAGCCTTCAGTGTGCAGCTCCCCCCTTAGCTCCCCCAGATAGTTAACTGAGCCCGATCTCAATCCAGCGATGTTCATGAGAACAGCAGCTCTCCTGGGTCTCTTCCTCCTCACTGGCTGAGACACAGCAGGGGATCACGATGCCCGCCGCCACCGCTGACCCCAAAAAAAAAGAAATAAAAAAATCCACTCCACCCTCGACACTGGCTCCAGCCATCTGAGAGCTGCGCTGCAATGACAGTTCTTAAATAGGGTGATGACATCAAAAGGGGGTGAGACCACCCCATCCCCTTGTAATGTCATCATGCCCTGTAATTGGCCAAAGCATTGCACCTGACCTGTGGTTAGGTGCAATGCTTTGGCCAATCACAATGCACTGTCAGGGTGCAGTGCATTTCTTGTGGGGCGTGGCAGGTGAATAGCCCGCCAAACATCCATACCGTTCGTGTGTTCAACGAACTTACGTTCCACTCGAACATGCAGCCCATCACTATTACCTAAAACACATTGACACTGACATTTACTGACACGGATACTAATTTTAAAAGTGTTTTTCCTTTCTATGTTTTCTATGAAAGTGTTTTCTATGCACACTGGGCTTAAAAAAACCGCTAGTTCCCTTGGCAAAAAAAAAGCTCATATAGAGTATTTTTTTTTACAGACGTTTTAGGAGAGTTTAGGAGCTTCTAGGAGAGTTTATGAGCATTCAGCATTTTTCTGCCAGAAAATTGCCCTTAAAAATTCAAACCAGAAGATTTTCATCTTATGCCTCTAAATGCTGAGCTTAAAATATGCCTCCAAGGCTCTATGTACACTAGCTCCTAGAGGAGTTTAGAATTTTGCCTGTAGAAACAATTAATGTTATCCAAAGTTTCTGTGCGTTTTAGGTAGTCTAGAGGCATTTTTAAAGCTCAGAATTTAGGGGCAGAAAAAAATCTTACTCTTTTGCGTTTTTGAAAGCTAGTATCGCTAGTACAAAAACTGCTCAAAATTAGCGGGTTTTTTTTTTTAGCCTAAATGTCCTAGTGTGCATGGAAACAGGATAATATTAGCAGCTTCTACAGGCAAAACACTAAACTCCTCTAGAAGCAGTGGTTTTTTAAATCTAGTGTACAGGGACCCTAAAACCTACCTACAATACACTGATCCAGACCTTCGGCCTTAACCTTTGCCTCTGACCTTGACCTTTCCTGATCCCTGATCCTATTTCTGAGCTGGGCAGGCTGTACAGTGTCTGACGGGGTATTGTTTGAACAGTGAATGTTTCCTTAGGCATACCCAGGGGCGGACTGACAACTCATGGGGCCCCCAGGCAATAGGGGATCATGGGGCCCTTGTGTCCTTGCCCAAACTCAAAAAAGCCTATGAAAAATGTACCAGGGGCATCTCATGGGGCCCCCTACTGAGCTCGGGGCCTCGGGCAGTGCCCGAGTTTCCAAATGGTCAGTCCGCCCCTGATCATACCTTATTCCCTTTGCAAAGCGAACATGCTCTACTCTTTTAGCAAATCAACCCCAATGTGTCTTATGGTGGCAATTCCTCTTTTTCACTCAAATATATCGCTTTACAATTTGATATATTATTCCATATCATTCTATTTTATTGAAAGTAAGATAATAAATTTGTGGTCATTGTCATATACTTTATTTTTCAAATGCTTCTTCCTCATTTTGACATGGTGTTATACACTTACCACAGATATGTTTGCAAGTCCAAAAAACGGTGCAATGCTGGCACTGCATGTTGCTTTTTCCATTTGGCACACTGGCATTGATGACAATAAGCTAGAAGGATGGGTGGCTAGCTTCACGTCTGTCAAACCCTTTCCCCAAGCTGAAGCGGCTACGAGCCACAGGAAAGCAAAGCCTCCAGTGATACAAAAATCCTGTATAGATATAGACAGATTTTAAATTACTGACACTGAGCATAATGTTACTGTATTATATTTTAAAGGTGCTGCTGGTGTTGTGTGAAGTTGATCTGAACATTGCTGTTAAACGAAGGAAATCAGTAGGACGTAAAGAAGAATGCTCTGCAAAAATTAGGATATTTCAATTGCAAAGATGCATATGGCTTCAGAAATAAATGTAGCTAATATTTATACATCTATGTGGAAACCAAGCAAGGTAATAAGAGAGTTACAAAATGCAGCAAGAAAGAAGACACCGGTACAGCCAAAAATCTCAGGAAGTACTGGAGTGCAATCATAGCCACTAGATTCCAGGAGATATTTGGACACAGCAAATACTAAAGCTAGGAATTGGAACACTATAAGGCCTGCAAGCAAGACACAAGACAAGACATTGAGATTTGGAAGACTTCATGTCATGGGACTATGTCATGAAATTTTTTTAACTGTTTTAATGTCAGGCCACACAGAACAAAAGCCGGAATCAGCATTTACTGATAGTAAAATAGACAACTGTAAAGGTTGTGTACATGTTACTGGGCACATTAAACCCATCCATTGGCTATATTTCATGCTCAAGTACTGTATCTATTTCTGGGCATATTATATCCAGAATGCTGGAAGATAGCTTTGTCTTATATAAATGTGGAGAAGTATCTAAATAGGGGCATGTCAAATAAAAAAAAGACCCCTATGTCAGTACATTGCACAGCAGTGAAATTGGGGATGGAGTATGGAACCGCAGTGTGTGGCAGGTGACAAAGGAATGCAATACTTGATTACTTCAAGACGTGCTGAATACTGGAGAATCTGCATCTTCCAGGTTTCAAAGACATATTTATACAGTGTTCAATTGCTGTTGTGTTGCTTTCAGTAGGGACATAGAGCTATATAAAATGGTAATTCACATAAACGTTTTCTATGATTTTGCCAACTTAGTATACTTAGCTTTTCTTTGTCCTGAGTGGTGTGTTTTACAATGCAATGAGTAGATTTATAAGAATACAACACATAAGAATGTGACATGCTTGTTAAATCAGTACATTGTGTAATAGTTATGCTCATGATTACAGTAAACATTTCCAGGAGCTGCTTTCTGCTCTGCATTGTTTACTGGCAAAAAAAAAAAGAAAACTTGCAGGGCACACTGGACACTCTGTCCATTATGTTTGGTTCCTTTGTTCATCATAATGTTTTTCTATTCTTATTATGGTCTACCACTAAGATCACATATGGTTATTCCTGTTGTTCATGAGGGTATGAATGCACAAAAGCATGTTAAAGGATATTCTTGCAAAAGTGTAAACAATTTGAGGAATGAAAGCCCAGATTGTCAGGTAATACACCTACATGTGGCGGGCCAGAAAAGTGAACCTTTGCTTTGTTGATGCAGTGCAAAGAAATTGGCTTACTTAACTGCTGCTCTTCTCAGCTTCATGTATTTCTTTTCCTTGGCTTCCTTGTCACCCTGCTCAGCTGACAGCAGCAATGAAAAATACCTGGTTTCTCCTATGTATTGAGCGCATGTCACTCACTTCCATTTGTTCCATGTAATATTACTGGTGCTGAGTCTGTCGACACCCAGCACTGTACTGGGAGACTAAGCAACAGTACTGTTACAGAGAACAAATGGAAAAGGGTGAAGAGAGTGCTCAGATCTATGTTAATCCTACATGTTAAGAAGCTTCCAAGTCAAAACTTACAAAGGACATTCTCTCTTTGCTCCTAATGGCTGGACAAATTAGTGTGGAAAAAAGGAAAGCGAGTATGTGAAGTTGGTCAGTGTGGTATTTAAATACACCTGTTACCCCCCAGTTCAATGTATAGCTTTCATTTTATTGGTGTATGTGCAGGGGCAGACTGACCATTTGGAAACTCTGGCACTGCCCGAGGGCCCGGGGTCAGTAGGGGGCCCCATGAGATGCCCCTGGTACCTTTTTCATAGGCTTTTTTGAGTTTGGGCAAGGACACAGGGGCCCTATGATCCCCTACTGCCCAGGGGCCCCATGAGTTGTCAGTCCGCCCCTGTGTATGTGCTATCAAGACCTCTTGATGTCCCCCTTGTATGCATATTTGTTAAACTTTTTCCCTCAACATCAGCCAGGTCTTACCATTTACTCTATTGCAGGCATCACTAAATGGCGGACCAGGGTCCGGATGCGGACCTAGCCACTCTTTCATCCGGACCCGATCACACCATTTTGGAGTCGCTTCTTTCCCTCCATCGCTGTTCTTACAGCAGAGCAGACAGCCAGAGACAGAACATTTCTGGAGCAAGTGTGGAATAACAGCACAGTATTGAACAGAGCGCAGGAGCGGGAGCTGACAAAACATTTTTGGATCGGATGTGGGAAGTACAATACAGCATTGAATAGAGCGCGAGAGCTGCCGGGGTTACCTTTTTAAGCTAACCAGTGGCTGACTGGAAGCAGGGCAGTGCTAGCAGCCAATCACCTGCTGGTTAATACAAAATGTTAACCCTCGCAGCTCCCATGCTCTTTTCAATGCTATGCTTCCTGCATCCGATCCAGGAATGTTATGACAGCTCTCGCTCCCGCACTCTGTTCAATACTATGCTGTTATACCGCACTCACTCCATAAATGTTCTGTCTTCTGCTGTCCACTCTGCTGTTATAACAGCGGCGGTGAATGGGGGGAAAGAAGCGGCCCTGTTCAATGATGTGCTGTGCTTCCCACACCCATCCAGAAATGCTCCACCACCTGTTCTCTGCTCTAAGGTACGAGAGTGAAGGGGGGGCCGGGGACACTACTCTGGCTGTGTGTGCAATATAAAGGGGGGCAAAATGTGAAGAGGGGCAGTGCTATGTGCATGTGGTGGTGGTGGGGGGGTGATGTAAAGGGGGCAGTGCTGTGAAGGGGTAATGTAAATGGGGGGGACTATGTGATGCGAGGAGGGGGCATTGCTGTGGAGGGGGAGATGTAAAGGGGGGAAAGTGTTGTGGTGGGGGGATGTAAAGGACAGTACTGTGGGGTAGGGATGTAAAGTGGGGGGTGGGGTTGATGTGAGGAGAGCAGAGTATACTACTGGGGTGAGGTGTGAAGGGGGCAGTGCTGTGTGTGTGTGGGGGGGGGGGGCAGGGGGGATTGATGTGAAAAGGGCAGAGAACACTACTGTTGGGGGGGGGGATTTGTGATGTCAGGGGGTAGGGCAGTGCTCTTGGGAGAGATTTAGGGGGGGTAGTGCTGTGGGGAGGGAGATGTAAAGGGGGGGCAGTGTTGTGGGGGAATGTGAAGGGGGCACAGTTCTTCTGGAGGTTATGTGAAGGGGAAGAGGACAGTAGTGTGGGGAAGAGATGTGAAGAGGGCAGAGGACAGTAGTGTGGGGGAAAGATGTGAAGGGGGCAGAGGACAGTAGTGTGGGGCAGGGGTGATGATTTGAAGGGGGGTTGAGGACTGCTCAAAATAATGGGGGTGCACTGTAAAGGGGTGGGTGGGGTTGATGTGCATGGGGCCTGAGAACACTACTGTGAAGGTGAAACTGATGTGAAGTTGGGGACTGTGATGTATAAGGGGGGGGGAGGGGGGGGACTGAGGACACTGACATATAGGGATGGTTATATACAGTAGGAGAGGGCTGAAGAAAAAATGTGGTTCAGACCTCTGATGGAAGAAAATGTTACTGGTTGAACCTCCATGAGTTTTAATTCAGTACCCCTGCTCTATTGTATAATTTTTTAATTTGCTAGTAATAGTTTTGCTTACCACAACTGGTACTCTCCGGATCTGAGTGTATCTCTCATGGAAAATCAAGTATATCGCCAAGGCCAACATAGAGTAGAGGAAAGCAAAGACGGATAATGTCACAAAGAATTCAGCTGGTGCAGAAAAGTCTCCTGAGAGGTGCAAGACACGGGCTTCAGTGTCACCACATGGTGGCATCTCATATCGTTGCCTGTACAACCTAGAACAAACATATACAATGTAAAGCACAGTAGTAAAACTGTAACAGTTCTGAAAATGGTTATTCGAAAAAATGAGTATCATAGGAAGTCTCATGTTATAAATATGTATTAATAGTAAAATTTCTTGTGGTCCAACCTATTAACTTCCATCTGTCATTTATACACTCCAGGTTTGAAAATCAGGAATTTTACCCTTAGCACACTGTCCATTCATTAGCCAATAAGGGAGTGATTTACAGTGGTTTAGCCTTTGTCATTTCACGTGACAGGACTATCCTGTTCCTGAGTGTTCTCTGTAGGGTACCATGCTATACTCCTTTCGACTAAAAGGTACAGTGCAGGTGCAGAGTGGAGCAATGACTGCAATGTTCTCTGGCAAGTGGATACCATTTTCCATTATAAATAGGGCTCTTAGTGTTTTAAAAAAATGTGCAGGGTAACTCCATTTTTGTGAAAAAAAATATAGCAAATTAAAATTAATATAGCATATACAATTGCTACACAAGCCATACTGTAATTTATAGTAATTAAAAATTATATATCCATTTCAATCTAAAAATACAATGCAATATGTCAAGTTGGAAGTGATCTGTACAAACTGGGTATAAAGAACGTCACCAGAAATTGAATTTCCTGCTTGTGTAATTGGCTCACTAATTTTCCCCAGACATCTACATTAAGATACAGGTAGAATTGTAGGCATCCTCTGCAATAGGAATTATATTTTTGGTGAAATACTCTGTAAGGTTAATTACTTCTATCTCTATAGGAATGCAGGCACTGCAATGTTCCTCATTAGACTGGAAGTGCATCAGCTGATTAGATTGAACACAGAGAGGATCAAACGTTTTCTTAAGAACATAAACAGGTAAGACTCTAAAAAGTTTACTAAAAGCCTTGCAATCTATGTTGATCACCCAGAGGGGATTGTTTTGTTTTGTTTTGTTTTCTCAACAAAAGTGGAGTTACTCTTTAAATTAGATAAAGACTAATGTGTTAAAATTCTCGAACATTCTGAAAAAGTATAACAAAAGAGGTTAAGAATTAGGGAATGTTTTGGAGTTATAGAATCTGCCATTTGTCAGATGTGTTAAAATAACATTGGAGGTATCACTTAGAAGAGTAACTACAAGAGAATTAGTATACTATTCTAATGGTGCTGGTGCAGCAGCCAAAACTGATTTCACATAGCAAAGTTATATTTTCAAATCCAAGTAATAATGATTGTGAACACCATGCTAAGGTTTTACCTGAAGGGATATGAAAAGGACACAGAGATGAGATCTGTGTCTGTCTGTGTATCTGTGACTTTACACATCACGACTGCTGCTGTTTCTCCAGTGAATGAACCACAACTTCCAAAGGCAAAGATAGCAAAGAGCTACAACAAAGAGGAAACGTGGGAAAGGAAAGAATGAACATCAGAAGCAAGAGAGCTTCATGTAAATAGACAAGAGATATGTGCACAGGAAGATGTTTAATGTTAACGTTTAATGTCTAATTTATAAAAAATATAGTATATAAAATAATCTTGTTCTATAATATGGGTGAAACAATTGTTAATTCCATATTAATACATAGCAAGCAGCAGCTTGAAGCATGCAATAATATAGGTAGACAGGGTTCAAAAGTAGCATGAAGAAGATCATCTGAATAAGGAACTGTTATACACTTACTTTTTTTTGTGAACCTTCACAGAAATGAGACTTCTTACTCTTCTTTTATAGACTTTGTATGGACTTTTTTTATGCACTTTAATGTTATTAAGGTTGCGGTAATGATATGTCACAGCTCTGCTTTGAGGTGGGAGTGATAAACGATTTGCTTTGGGGTGGATTTACTAAGGCAGGCCATAGACGATAAATGAAAAATAGGTCGGCCCCATTGCCGATGCTGCCACTAATGTCCACAAAAAACGGTCTGTTTTTCGTGGGTTTTCCAGCATGACCGATAAAAATAAATGAGGAGATCCGCGAAAAATGGCTGACGGGCTGGCCCCACTAACGGCGTGATTATCGGCCGATTTTTCATGCAGATGAAAAATCGGCCGATAAACGACCCATTTTTCATGCAGATGAAAAATCGGCCGATAAACGACCCATCTATGGCCTGCATAAAACTGGTGCACTCAGAATCTGGTGCAGATGTGCATGGTAGCCAATCAGCTTTTAACTTCAGCTTGTTCAAGTAAGCTTTGACAATAAAACCCGGAAGCTGATTAGTTTCGAGTTGCACCCGATTTTGCATTTTCTTGCACTTTTAGTAAATGACCCCATTGCATTTCAAGGTAGAGGCAATGATTTTTAATCTATAGCATTTTTTTTATAGGAGTTTATTTTCTAGTTTTGATTATACTTTAATTTTTAAGTCTCCGTACAGATACCTATAAGGCCAACTTCTATATAAAATTTTTCTTTGAATCTAAACTGAGCGGGGTATTTAAAAAAAAAAAAAAAGTTGGCATAGCTATTTGTCTACATACATTCATTCTGTATGCATATATGTGCTATTTGTACACATACATTCATTCTGTATGAATGTACTGTATCTGTGAAAAGAATGTGCTCCTTCTTTTTCCCCTACAGGTCAAATGTCATTCTTTTATTTAAAAAAATAGAGTAGTTCAGAAAAATATCACATTATGGTCACTAGATAGAACTACGGGTTATAGGAAATAAATACTTAATTCCTATGTTTTGATATTCTATGACTTGATTTTGCCGCATTTGCACAGAACGAATGTACCAGCAGTTTCGATGGATGAATAGCTATGCAAACTTTTGTTTATAAATATGCCCCTATGCTTCACATGGTTACTGTCTGCCTATGACATACATTTTAAATTGCAAGCAGATATGATTTTCTCTGTTATACACACACATATTGAGGCTAAAATCATAATTCAGAGCACAAAGTAATCCTAGAGAGATATTGTTTTTAAGGCATGTACAAACTGCTTGCAAACCGTCTCTATTAGTATTCATAATAAAAGCAGGTTGTATAACATACAGTATGCCTGGATGCATTTTAGTGACTTGTGTTTGCATCAGTGGGCACAGATTATACATTTTATATACTGAAACTTTTTTTTTTCTGCACAGTCAACCAGAACAGTGTTATCTGGATGGTAGTTTTGGCCATAAGGCCTTAAAGGTGGCCTTCATTTTTTTTTGTTTTGACTGCATATTTCCCCCTTCTTCCTATTCCTGGATGTTCTTGCCTAACCTTCAGTTTTGTTACTGAATATTACCTCCACTGTGTCCTTCAAAGAACAAAGAAAAAAGAGATAAGAATGTTATAATAACTTCATTGAGGGACACTACTATTCCACCCAAGTGTGGAGGAACCAAAGGATGTTTCCTTCCACTTTTTCCTCTTACCTTTCATACTGCTTTGCTTCAGCTGAGACTGCATGGAGGGTGGGATTATAGCCAATGGGAGGCTGGTCCCACTTCAGGTTTTTTTTTTTTTCTTTATTTGGTGTCCAAATTCTCCTTCTGGTGGCAGCATGACCCACAGGTTAAAAATATAACCAATGATGTGTCCCTTAACCACTTTCCTACCAGGCACTTATACCCCCTTCCTGCCCAGACCAATTTTGAGCTTTCAGCACTGTCGCACTTTGAATGACAATTGCGCGGTCATGCAACACTGTACCCATATGAAATTGTTCTAATTTTTTTCACACAAATAGAGCTTTCTTTTCTTGGTATTTAATAGTGGCTGGGTGTTTTATTTTTTTGCGCTATAAACAAAAAAAATAGCAAAAAAATTTGAAAAAAAGTTTTTCTTTGTTTCTATGTTCAAAACTAGAGTGGGAGCTGACAAAAGCTAGAGTGTGAGCTGAAAAAAATCAGGACATGATTTCTAAACTGCCATCACTCCCTCATTTTCAAGCCCACCTACACAAATCTTATATCAAAAAGTTCAGCTATCCCTGCTGCCACTAAAAATGTCCACGGCTAAGCCATAGTCCTGATAGTTTTCACAATATGACCATTTGTTTGCAACTCACGCCGCCCATTGACATTCATTGAAACTCCACTCTAGCCACCTCAAATTTGAAGGGCAATTTCTAAACTGCGACTGTGCCTTCATTTTTTAATATTTCAGAGACATACTATGCATCAAAATGTAGGCCTGGGTCTTGTGATTCTCACAATATACAGCTCTTCAGTGTAGGATTTATATTTTTTAAACTACAACCGTTTGAATATGGCAACTGCCAGTGAAGTGAGCAAGTTGGAGCAGTCTGTTTTTAACCGCTCTTCTCTGCCCTTGCTGTAGAGTGAGTAGGAACCCAGGTGTGTGAGGAGGCAGCAGAGTGACAAAAGCTAGAGTGTGAGCTGAAAAATAAAAGTTGAAATGCATTTCTCACTCTATCAAGCTTGCCATGTGCACTTTTTAAATTTGATCAATTGGTTAGTGTAATGTTTACTATCTTTACTCACTCCAAACACTCCACACAGTTACTCTGCCCACTCCATAAAGTTACTCTGCCCAGTCCAACCTTTTCACAGTTACTCCAGCCACTCCAACCACACAATAGTTACTCAAGCCACTCCACCCAGTTACTCTACCCACTCCAGTTATAGACTACTGGTGGAGGCAAGAACACTTCACACAATTTCCCCAGAAATTGTAGCTTTTCTAGTTTTTTATTTTATCCACTGATCATGTGTGCCCTGATGATCATTGCCGATCACTCCTCTGACAATTTCTGGTTATTGGCAGTACTTTCCTCACGCTGTGACAGCGTAAGGAAGGTGCAGCCAGTAACCGGCAACTGTATTTACCTGGTGATCTGCTGTGTCATTGGACACAGCTGATCACGTGGTAAAAGGCCACTGTGATTGTCCGTTTACCGTTTACTGGGGGAGTGGTCTGGGAGGACGATCATGGACATCCTCCCAGAACTAGACAACCGCGCTGTAGCCGTCTTTCGGCTATAGTGCGGTAGGGAAGAGTTTAATGAACTCAGGAAAAAGGATTTTGGTGAGTACAAACTGGTGCATTCAGTATAAACTGGTACATTCTGCTTCAGAGCTTGTGCTTCTGAAAAACAACCACCATCACCACCAGATGAAAATAGAAAGCTTAAAAAAAAAAATAAATAATGCGGCCATCACATTAAAGAATTGGTAAGGTGCAACGTATTATTTGCTTTTGGGTGTAATAGTGTTTTAAACATACCAGGCAACACTGTATCAAGCAACAGTAAACATATGGCAAAAAAAATTAAATCTAAAACTGTAAACCCTCTAGGATTTTCCTTTTGCCTCTGCTTATAGGACAGTGGTGGTCACTTTTCTTAATATAAAGCTTCAAGCTCTCCTTTTAACATAGCACTTTTATGGAATTCTCTAAAGTAGGAACAATCAATTCAGATCTTGAGCTTAGTGCTGGATCACGGCTGTCACTGGTGCCAAGTGTGCAGCCAGCTGTATTTCTGACCTGAATTGAGGCACTAAGCAAAGTTAAAGACATAGACCCAACTAGTGGCTAAACCACTGAACATACTGAACAAGCTCAGGAGTGGCAAGCAGTGAACAAACAGCAGTAAAGAATATAACCTCCTAAAGGATTATCTTGAAGAGGACCTGAACTGTGGAAGCTGTGTCCAAAAACATTAAGCAGAGGGCAAAGAACTAGTCTTCATATTACTTATAGGCTTTGTGAAGCTTTTTGCCTTCCAGAAAGAAACAGTAGCAGACAGATAAACATTGAGTACCTGTACCACATTTAGGATCGTAACACAATGCCTTCCTCTAGATCAGGGGTCTACAAACTATGGCCCTTCAGATGTTGAAGTACTACAAGTCCCATAATGCCTCTGGGAACCTTGCCTGTGGCTGTCAGAGTCTTGTAAGGCCTCATGGGACTTGCAGTTCCTCAACATCTGGAGGGCCATAGTTTGGAATCTCCTACTCTAGTTGGACTGGGTATAGGATTGTGTATATGAGGATTTTCTATTTGTGTGTGTGTGTGTTTTTTATTGGTTGGACTGGGTGGACGTGTGTCTTTTTTCAACCCGACTAACTATGTAACAACATCCTCATTAAGTTGGAAGGAGGACATGAAATTTGTCAAAAAGGACTGAATAGTCTGCAAGACAACCTTGTGAAGAACAAGGAAGGCAGACGAGTAAATTAATAAAATATAACTTTGTGTAGTGCCTCAAAAAGGAGGCCATAAAGCACACGTCACCAAATTAAGGTTCCATGGGAACTTCATAGGTGGAATAGTGTGATTTACACCTTTGATAGAGGTGCAGGCCAAGAAATAAGAAGACTAACATGTTAAAACAAAATATCCAAAGCTAAGATCTGACATTTGATGGTACTCCATATGCCAATCTATGCCAGACTGGCAGAAACTGAG